TTATTTAAATTGGTATGTTTTATTTTTCTTTTAATAATTTATTAATTTTTAAAGAAAACAAGTCGGATTGAATCAGATCCAAAGATCCGACTTGCCTATAGGATTTGAATTCAGATCGAGGCCTCTCAAATCCGATTGGATCCGCCATGAACAGTTTTGGATCGGATTCGGATATACCCTGATTCAAATCCGATCCGATCCGTTTGCATCCCTTGGCTCAGCCCCTTCAGCTCTAACTGCTCTCAAACTCTTTTTTTTAAATCACCACATAATGTGACCCATTCTTTTCTTTATCCTTCAAATGCACCATAGGCATACCAAATTTTCTTTTGTCTAAAAAAGGTAAGGTAAATTTATTAATAATCAGAGAAGCAGAATACAGAGAGGCCCCACATAAGAGACATACACAAGGCCTGAAGCCCATAGAACATTACAACTCTAGAAGGCTTCTTGATGTCAGTTGCGCCCCAAGCACCCCGGTTTGGAGACCTTTTACAGCTGCATTCCAAGACACCAACTTGCCAAAAGAAATAGAGATAAGACTGTCTACATCTTTTGATTTTGTTTTGGAAAACTCTGTTATTTCTTTCTGCCCAGATAGTGCTGATCACAGCTGCAGGAACATACCTCCACACACTCTTTCCCAGCTTGGATAGGCCTTGAATCTCCCAGCACCATAGCAGGTCCAACATGGCATTTGGCATGGCCCAAGATAAACCTGAGGATGCTAAGAAATGCCCCCAAATTGCAACAGAAACAGGGCAATGTAAGAACAAGTGGTTGTTTTCCTCCTCCAATTGGCCACACAGAACACTGTAAATCTTGGATCCGAATTCCTCTTCTCACCAAGTTCTTCTTGGTTAGACATCTATCCAAGACAACGGCCCATACGAAGGCATTTACTTTAGAGCAGCAGGAAATTCAGGTCTGTCTCCCTCTAACATATTACTGGCAAAGGAAATCACTGAAAAGAGTCCACCTGCACTCCAGTTCCAGGTCTAACTGTCTTCTTCCAACGGGTTTATGGCCCGATTGGATAACAACCCAATCAGATTCCTCACTTGGTTGATTTCCCAATCCTAAAAGTTTCTTCTGAAAGAAGGGCTCCAAGTGATGTTGCTGTTTGAAACTTAATAGCAGCCTGCTACCATTGCTTCCTGAGTGTCTGTAAGATGGAATAACTGGGGGAACATCTCTGCTAAAGTTCTACTGGTACACCACTTATCCTTTCAGAAGCATACTCGTTGCCCATTTCCCAACTTCAGAGCCAATCCTCTATTCAGGAGAGGATAAACTTCCATGATCTTATTCCAAATTTTCTTCCAGATCCATAAAAGATATTCCAGCGGCTTCCTCTCCCCCAATAAAGAATAAGCCCACAACTTTGCTAACCTCCACCTCAATAAACATAAAATAAATCTAGTTTAAGTTAACAGGCCCATTAACATAAGCATAAACAAAAGTAGGCTAAAACTAGCTATCCGGGCCATCATCTCTACACTCCCTCAAAAACAAATTTTTCCTTTATTTTAAATAAATCTTTTTTCCAAAAACAAATTTTTAATTAAAAAATTTGGGATTCAGATCTCCATTGGGAAACCTGTCTTCGTTGGGGACCGGGGATGGATGCTAAATTTTTTCCCCAACAAGGATCAAGGTCGGAGACAAGGATTAATTTAAAAATCGGGATCAGGGATAGGGAATATGGTCCCTGCCCTGAACCCACCCCATTGCCATTCCTAGTGGCTCCTCTTCTCTTCCTTGCTTCTCTTATTCTTCTCTATTTGATATTATTTTCTTTTAAAACCAGATTTTTATTTATTATTTGATTAATTGTTGCTGAATTATTTGATAAGTCTAGTAAATGGTTCAAGGGCTAAACGGATGACAGCCCCAGAACCTATGGAAGCAAAGTGTCAACAAAAATAGGGAGAATTCTGTGGAGATGTGCTTGTGCTGCCTTGATTTGGACTCTTTGGGAAGAAAGGAATGCTAGAATTTTTCAAGAAAAGGAAAGGAGCAATCAGGAATTGAAAGACTATGTGTTAAATAGGGCAATACCTTGGCTGAAGACCTTGGAAATCTTTCATCAATTCTCCTTTAATGACGACCTTTGGAGAAATTGGTCAGCAGTAGCGAGGTGCTCATCCCTAAAGGACAAATCAATTACAAGCTGGTCTCCTCCATCCGAAGGCTCACTGAAGTTGAACTTTGATGGAAGTAGCTTGGGTAATCCAGGATTATCCGGAATGGGGGTGCTTTGAGAAATGAGAAGGGAGAAATTGTGTTGCTCTACTCAGGTCCCTTGGGAATTGGGGACTCCATCAGGGCAGAACTTTTAGCTGTTGTACAAGGGGTGCAATTTGCAAACCAGCTGGGGGTACAACACCTAACGATTGAGGGAGATTCCAAAGTGATGGTGGGTTGGCTGAAAAATCCTGAAGAGGCTATGTGGCGTTACAAGAATGAAATGAAAAAATTTAGTTGGTTGACAAGGAATATGTTGGTCACTGTACGGTGGGTGGGGAGATCAGCAAATACTTTGTCGATGTGTTAGCCAAGCAAGGGGTAAATAGGGAAGAATTATTTTCAGCTCAGTTGTGATTCTTGCTTTTCTTTCATAGTTTACTTGTAAGATTCAAGGAGGGGCTGCAGCTCACGCCTCTCCCTGGGATGTTGTGATTCTTATTATGGACGCATTCCTCGGGAAGACGTACCGTCGCCACCGGCAGCAACAGGCACCTGACCCACCGCCAGCAGCAACAGTGATTCAATGATTCTCATCCTACCCAGTTCGGCAACAGCAGCCTTATCTAGATTAGATTAGATCATCTTGCTTGTTCTTATCTTATTCTATTGCTCTTATCTTGTTAGTAGCTTATCAGATTAGGATTAGCTTATCTTATCCTTAGCAAGATAGAACTGGAAGTCTCCCTATTCAGCAAGGAGACTCCCTTTGATTAGGACTCTTGTAATCTCCTATTTAAGGAGATCCCATTATTGAATGAGGATATCAAATTTCCAGTCAAGAAAGAGAGTAAAAGGAGAGTTTGGTGATCTCTTGGAAAAATCACCCTCTAGGACGCCAAGATAGGTTCAACTAGGAAGGGGAGGAACAAGGGAAAATAGGAGCTTTTACCCGTGGACCGACCCATGACAAGATCCTACGCCCGGGCCCATAACATGTTGTATGAACTCACTCTAAATCTGTTTCTGAATTAATAAATTTATTTTCATCAGGATTGGTTGGTTCAACCATGGGTTGAAAACAATGGATGGTAGGGTCAATTGTTGAGCCTCTCTCATTCTCTCTCCCAGCATTATGTTGACCACACACTCTTTTAGTTACAATACCTGAAATTTACAAACCAAACCCTGGCCCAAATATTCCTCACAAGATTGTCCCTTGTAACTGTTGTTTTAACTAGAGGTTCAGCTAACCTTCTTTTTTCTCCTTTAATTGTTAGAATTCATTATACTTAGAAAGAAAAAGAATGAGTACAATATACCATGCATCCCAAAGCTCTAGCTTCTCTGACTAGAAACCTATGTGTGCAAGGTACCTATTTCCTTGTCTTTTAACTAATTTATGACCACTTAGGAGTCTCATCCAACAAGTAGATTTGTGCAGCCAGTTTAACGCAAATTTTGAGATTCTTTCCCTCTTGCAAGTCCTTAAACCATGTTTTCCTCCGGCTTTGCATAAACCATTAGTGAAGGGCACTCCACATATTGGCATTTGATAGAAAGAAATGTATATTCAGCCTTGAGGGCCATGAGACTTGGTCTTCTCAGATATGCAAGATCCTTGGAGTTCAGTTTGAATTCCTCATTCTCCTAGGCCTCGGAATCTCCCAACACAGTCACATAATCACCAAGTCCAGATGCTTTTCTCTTATAATTGTATAGCAGGGGAAGGATCATAGTACTTTGATTGGGGTTTTTATGTGGCCCATGGATCACTTTTTTGTGGAACCTTTAGGCATTGTATCCAATTCTCAATTAACAAATGAGAAAGTCAAATCCTAAACAAACTAGGAAAATTAAAGAACAGCTTGAGAATGGTTAGACAAGAACAAGCATATTTTGCAATAATAAGAAAATATTAGATAAATAGAAAAACAGCACCCAAACAACTGATAACAGCCGGCCTAGGTCTTCCAAAGAACAAAGAAAACAGAACTCTGAATGAAACCAGTTCAAAATCTGATCTGAAACCAACAACAGTTCTGCATTTTAGGGTTTTCTCTCAAAACCCTAAAGGAAAAAGACAGATTTTCCAGCCGCACCTCTCAGAATAAACCAAGATTATTTTTTTCAAAGTTATTCTCAAGAAAAAGCTTACTTTATGAAAGAAAATCTCTGGCCGCCACCTTCTGTCTGATGCAAAACACTAATCTTGAGGATCTGAAGCCTTTTCTGAATCTTCCTGACTACTGGAACTCTCCTAGCCTTCTACAATCTTCTTAGTAGCAGCCACACACTACCAGTAACCTCCAAGAATCAGCCAACCCTCCTTCTTTGTTGAAAAACTTCTAAACCTAGGAGATTCTCATGTAGTCAATCTAATTAGACTAACATAAGAGAGCTCCTACGTCGGCTCTGATACCAAGTAGTCGATCAAGACTACAATCAGTCTTGAATTCAAAAGAAAAAGAATGAAGAAATTGCAGAAGAGAAGAAGAAGAACAGAAGAACAGAAGAAGAAGAGAGGAGAGAAGAGAAGAAACAGACGAAGAGAATTCTGAAAAGAGAGAGGGTTGGTCTTGACATCAGCCGACCCACACTTGATATTTATATATGTTGACTAATTGTAAAAGGACTGAATTGCCCTTATTGCTTACATGGAAAATAAACTAATAATAAAGCTGAAATAACTATCAACTAACACTGAAATAACTAACAGAAATATGCTGCCATACGAACACAGTGGGGTTCATATCAGTGTTCTCTACATATAAAAAGAATAAATGGCATAGTGCCAAATAAGATCTTGTATATTTTGCACAAAACAAAAGAAAATGATTGAATTGATGGGAATCTATATTTCCTTTTCAAATTGCTTCCAAAAATGGAAACCAATTTCACATAAAAGATGGAGCATTCTCTGTACAAGCTCCAGTTAGCTACAACAAGGAGAACAAAAAAACTAACCTAATACTAATTGTACACCTATAAACCATAGAGCACATAAAAGATAAAGGAGAAGGAAGGCTGAAAATACAACCTGGCTTATAAAGTCTCTACCTAACAAGTGTAAAGTTACCTGAGATTTATGAATCTCCATGAGAATACATACATCTGCCCTGTCAGCCACATCATGTACTGAGATTCCGCTTTGTGGCTTCCATTTTTAACAATAGATCTTTAATATCAGATTCCATTCTCATCTTCATATTTAAGTATTCACGTTGTGCCTTCTCTAAAGTCTGAAGTTCTTCGAGTTTTTGCCAGCGCCTTTCCTCAGCCTCAACCAAGCGTAACTTTGCAATTCGGCTAGTGTACTCTTGTTCAATCTTATCATTCTTAGCAATTGCAATACGTTTTAGGCCTTCAGCCTCTCTTCTTGCGTCATCAGCACGTGCTTGGAACATTTTAGCTTCTGCCTGTTTGATTCTAACAATGCTATCTAATTCATCCATAACTGGTTTATTTTCACTGCTTTTCTGCATCTCAGAACCTTCTCTCCGCATACCCCCCTGATCCCAATCCAAGTTGGGAGTAACGCTACCCGTTTTTTCAATGTGAATAGCAGCATTATCTGTTGAAACAGGTGTCAGCCACATATTTTCTTGGCTCAGCCCAACAACCCCGTTGCTTCCTTCTCCTAGGTTCTTATGGGGTAATTCATTCAAAGTCAACATGGAAGTATTGCCATACTTGGAATCTCCTGCAATAAAAGAGGTAATAACATCATCATGGTTCAAGTTGCAGATCTAGGTAAATAAGGAATGCAGAGTATAAAACATTAACCAGTCCCTAACTGCTAACATCCTGGCATGCACAAATGTTGTATATTTGCATGTTGCTAATCATATATATGCTTCATTTCAACCTAAACTTTGGGGATTTAAGATCTCAAGTGTGTTCTTGTTTTAAACTTGTATACACCCATGTGCTATACTGCTAATACTAACAATATAATTTATACATACATACATGTAACATTGAAACCACTATGCTATAATTGCACATAAAAATTAATGTTAATATATTATATTACTACAAAAGGACTAAACATTCTGACATGCTCCATCCATCTTATTTATGCTAAACTAACAAACTGTCCATTACTCAATTTAGTACCATTTGAAACATTTGCTGCAGGATATGGCTGGGACTTTTTTTTGAAGATAAATAAAAAATAAAATTTATTATCAAGAAAAGAGCAAGCAGGATACAAATGCAGGTGATGAGCAATCACCCTGAAGAAAGACGCAAAAAACTACTCAACCTTCCAACCCTCCAACTCCCAAAAAAACAAGAAAGAAACCTTCACAAGGAAGCCTTTCCAATCAAAACAAGAGATAGAAGCACAAAACCATCCTAACAACATTTTCCCATCCCATAGACAATACCTCAAGATTCAGAACCCCTACCTTCCCAACTAAATCATGCCTTAAAGAAAAGCACCCCCCTCACTGCCAAAAGAAATCTAATTATCTTTGCTCACCCTTTTCCACCTCCAATAAAAAATTTTCTGGCAAATTTTCCTCCTCCCAAAAATTGGGGTCCTAAAATTTTGCTAACCTACACTTCTGTCTCGACCACTTTATCCAGATCCAATTTTTTCTTAACTGGCCTCTTTTGATCTAACACCTGCTCTTCCTCACTCTCCCCCACCTCTGTATCTTCTCCAACATGTTTCATTCTATCAACATCAGGAACCAAATCTGACCTTTCTGAACACTCAGCAACCTTCGCCTGCACCAACTTGATCTCCTGTTTATAGTGGAGCTCCCATGTTTTCCTTGTTTACACTTGATTTAGCTGAAGTCTTCTTTGTTTTATACATTCTCTTATACTTAATGCACAGACCAGCTCTAAAAAGCCCCTCTTTCAGCTGTGAAAAAACTTTCGTTGCATGTACCAACTAGCCAGAACTAGAACACCTTAGTCTTCTCGAGATCTCAGACATTCCACTAAGGACTCCAGTCTCTTTTACCAAACTTGTCTTATCTGCTTCAGCCTTCCTTCTCCCAAAATCYTTCCCAAGCATACCTACCAAAATTTCAACACAACTTCCTTCCTCAACTAGGCTCTCACCTGTGGCTTGTAAGAAGGAATGTCTATCATATTCCAACTCTAACAAAGACAAATCAGGAAAAAACCCTGTTCTACACTTCTTGTCAGTGGAAAGTGTTCCACTCACAAAAACCTTCAAGTTGAACCCCCTCCGTAACACCTTCCTTATCAACGGTAGCAACTTCCCTTTCAGAACCAGGAGAAACTCTCAACAGACAACAATCTAACTAAGAAAAAGTTGAGTTTTGATATTTTGGGCTTCTTATATATATATATATATATATATTCAATAAATCCTACACTCTCCAGAATAGCTAGAAAGTAAACACAGTAGTAGTTAATATTTAAAAATCCAAAACAAGAAACAGACCCCTAAAAGATTAAGTTTGGGTCCACAGATCAGTGTTATCAAACTGTTAATATTTGGTGTATTGTGGGCCGCAGGGGTACTGTGGTCTTTTTACATATTATTATTGTTTTATGTGTCACCCTACTATATAATAGAAAGCTGGCACCGCCAGCCAAGATTTTTGCCTCTCCAATCTCAGTTTCTCTTGTCTTCTCTTCTCCTCTCTCTTCTCTCTTACTCTTTTTTTTTATAAATGAGAGTAATTTTATTAAATCAAATTACAAAAATACAATCAGCCTAGGAGGAGGCATGAGATGTTACCCCCCTAGGACTGAACCATATACACCAAAACTGCCCACGCCTGAGATACAATTACATAGTAGCCCAAAATAGATCTCCCCTTGACACCCCCTGCTTGGCCAGAGAACCAGCCATTGCATTTGCTGATCTTCTAACCCACTGAAACCTGACAGTCATATTCCTTGTCATCCATTTAACTTTCTTTAACAGATCCCTGTAGCCCCAACAAGCTGTTTCTGGCCTAATTAGCCAGCCTACTACCACCTTGGAATCCCCTTCTACTAGCAGATTTGTCACACCACTTTGACTAGCCATCTGTATACCTTGTACCGCTGCTAGTAGCTCTGCCCTTATTGAATCACCTTCACCCACTGGTCCTGAAAATAGAGACAACATATTGCTGTCTTTGTCTCTCAGAATTCCACCAATTCCCGATGGCCCTGGACTGCTTTGGCAGCTTCCATCAAAATTCAATTTTACCACACCATCCGGTGGGGGAATCCATTCAGCTTGTGATTTGATCTTGGTAGAAACTGTAGCAGCCACTGCAGCCCAATTTCTCCTTAAGTCATCGAAGGAGTAATCTGCCCAAACTAGTAGTGTTGTCTCTTCTCTCTTACTCTTCATTCTTCTATTTCTGATTTTTCTTTATTCTAACAAGAAAACATGGTATCAGAGCAGGTTTTGTGGGCCTGAAGACAGATCAAACTATTTTTCCCCTTTCCTTGCTGATTTCCAGATCGATCTCAGGAGAAATCACATTAGACCCATCTGGGAGGAGTTTCTATCTTCCATTTCCTTTTTTTCTTTGGTCGTGTGCCAAGATAGAGCTGTTTGCTCGTGGTGACTGAATGCTGTGAAGTTTTCTAGTGGTGTTCAACGCCTGTATGGATCATGTGATCCTTCTTGTACCCAGATGGGCGGTATTAATTGGTCAAGTATGAACAGTGGTGGCTGTAACAGCAGAGGTAAGTCTTATTTGGTGACTGTGGTAATTGTGTGGCTTTTTGAGTGAATGATTGTGATTGATCGTAGGGCCTGTTCTGCGTGCTTTTTTTATCTGTGTTTGCATCTGGTGGATAACCTAGCACTGTGACTTTGTGTTTCTGGCCCCCTAGTAGTGTTGTCTTATCTTGTCAGGTGTGTCATGTGTGGACTGCTTTCTGGTAAGTTAATACAGTACTATCCTATACCAGAATTTTTCTTGTGTTATTGAGACTTCTGGTTTGCAGCTGGAAAGTGATTCTTTGGTCAGTACACCATGTCCTCTGAGAACACAGCTACCTCGGGTATGTCTTCCAGCCATGGTGGACTAAGTGGGAGTGTGGACATGACCTTCCCCATGGATGTTATCCCTCTAGATGGTCCCAATTATCTAGAGTGGTCGAGAGGAATTAAACTCTACATTACCGCAAGGGGAAAGATAGGGTAATACCAATGGGAGAGTTAAAGAACCAAAATCTGGGAGTGCTGAACATGACAAATGGAACCAAGAAAATATCAGTTTCTTTTTCAGCTTCAGCCTCCTACACCCCTCCCTATTTTTATTTTCAAATAGCTCCCTTCACTCTTCATCAGCAATTCCTTCTTCCCTCCCTTCTCCTTCCTCCCACACCTCACTCCCTTCCCCAATAGCTTTCCTTTTATTATATTCTTCCTTTTTATTCCTTTCAAAGTGTTTGATTGCCTTTCTTGCCACCCTCTCCCCACCCAAGAAAAATAACCCGTGACTTTCCAACCACCATCTGTCCATTACCATTCAATATCCTCCCTCCCCTCATCAATGTTTTCCTTTCCTGAATCTCCCTCTCCTTCAATCCCCTCTGACATCTCTTCTCCCTCCCTTATATCCTCCCCCAACTACTCTTTTTAACCCCAACCCCTACAACTCCCTGAACCAAAGTTCTCCTATTTCTATTATACACCTTGGGCAATAAYCTCAGGAGTTCTCGTACCAAGTAACTGTCTTCCTAAGCTATTCTACATCACTACAATAACCACCTGATACTAGAGCTGTTTTTATTTCAATAGAAGTTTCATCCCTTCATTTTCTTTTTCTTCTTTTTTGCAATATTTGTGCTCTTATTTTATCTCCCATCAAAAAGCTCCATGGGAAGTAAATTAACAACACAAAAATGGCAAATAATATGGGAGATAAAATTCTACAAAACAGTTGCAAGGCTACATTGTATTGAGTTGAGTGTTGAGCAGTCAAGAAACAACACCTCGAGAAAACAAGTTTGGTAAAAATGTGAGTGCTAAGATGGATGAGCAGAAAAACTTAAAAGGATAGGATTAGGAATGAAGTCATCCGTAGGAACCTAGGAGTAGCTCCAATAGGTAATAAAATGAGAGGAATAGACTAAGATGGTATGGTCACGTGCATAGAAGACCATCAATAACTCCAGTTACTAGAAGTGATTTGTTACAAGTGGAAGGGGTTAGACAAGCACAAGCTAGGAGTAAACCAAAAGGGCATGTGTTGTAGTAAGAAATGATTTAAGGCTTTAAGCACTAATAATTTAATAGTGGATATGGCTTTAAATAGAATAGATTGGCGAAACAGGATTCATGTAGCCAACCCCATATAGTTGGGATAAGGCATGGATGATGATGATGATGATGATGATGAATAATAAAAGTTCTCTTTAATTATCAAAAAAAAAAATCTCCTATCCAAGCCCCATACCATATGTATCTTTTGTCATCAATATACACATGTACATGTATATATTTTTTCTTTGGGATCTTCTATCACCTAGGCAAAGAATCCATTGCTAGGATAAAACACCTTGTTGATAACTTACTACCTTAACTACACTACCTTAGACCAAATCATGCCAAGAACAATTAGTAAGGAAAATGGACAAGGTGCAATGTGCAAGTGGACTGCCACACAAGGTAGAATTTTTTATCAATAAAAAAATAATTTTTTTATCAATCTAGGTTCTAGGTTAGGGTGGGCTCATGTCTATTTGAACTCAAGCAAAATATCATCTCAGGTCTGGCCCTCTTACAACCTAATCATGGAGAGACTCAAAGATTAGGACAAGCACATAAGTACCAAAACCCGAAGTGTCTAAAGCATGCATGCTGCAAACCAAGCATCAAAAATCATAAGATTCATAATCAACAGTTCACTCATAAAACTTTCAGAGAATCACAAAGTCCAAGCAAAGAAAACAGGGGACATAAGCCAATAACAGCAATTCAATTCATTAAATATTTGATATAAAAGCTGAGAATCGTAGAGCAAATGAAACATGACTAACAGCATATAATTCAAAATTATCAACTACTAAACACTAAACACTAAAAGAAATAAAGCACACAAAATTATCAACTATGCTATGTATGCAAGAAATGCCAATTGCTCCGGAATGAATAAGCAAAATAAATCAAGGATGTTCTTTGTAAGGAGAAACTGCAAATTTACCGGTCAAGAATCCCATTATATGACTATAGACCTCAGGAAGATTGGACTTATTTTCCAATCTAGTCATCATCTGATCAGCAATATCATGAAGTAGTTTCCCTCTCATGTCCTTGCTGGCAGAAAAAATCTTCTTCACATATTCAAGTTCCTTGTAAAGAGTTTCAGCTTTCCAATCCTTTGCACAAGTTTTGAAAACTTCCTTTACAAAGCCAAACATCTCAGAAGGATGATCACAGGCAAGACAGTGGAACTGCATCTCTGTTGCCCCTTGAGCCCCAGTGACACTCGGGCCATTTCTAATATAAGATTCCTGTAGTCCACAATCTGTGTGGCACCAATGAAGGCATACATCACACCCAACCCAACTACAAGTATTAGATGCCATGTCAAACTTTGAGCAAATGAGGCACATGCAAGAACTACAGAAGCCATTCTTCTGTATGCAAACCTTGCAATCACATTCATCCACAGGTATAATACTCTTACACTCAAGATTCCTGCACCTTAAGTTTAGAAATATTTCAACTAAGTCAGAAGAAGGAACATTTTTAGCTCGCCTAAGAAAATCCTGAAGACCAGTCTTGAGAAACAACAAGATCTCCAGCTGAGCCCGATGGGACTTTAAAAGTATCTCCACCGTAAGGTCAGACCTGTTTTGCAGGGTCTCCTGAAATGTATGTAGCTGCCCATGCTTCTCTTCATTTACTATCATCTCATAAACACACTCTTTTAGACACGCAATGGACTGTTCTGTCATTTCATGAATTCTCCTAGCCATTACTTGTATTGGTTCTGAAACTATCATGGTGATGATCTTTTCAGCAAAACCAGTTCCACCTACCACAAGCTGTTCCATCTCCATCTGACTATTACTCTGAAACATACTACCACCACTTCTCTTTCTCATTATCTGCTTCTTATCTTTATCATATTCCGATCTAATTTCATGAGATCCAACACTATTTGTAGGGGATCTGATTTTATCATGTTGCCTTGGTCGTGCTCCTGATATCTGTCTTGAAAGACTTGGATGTCCATCAAAGCTAATAGGCGCTCCAGAGCTTCCTTCAGCAACTTTAAGATATTGCCCTTGCATGGCTTGAGAATGTAAAATACCTTGTGATGATTGAGATGCATGCAAAGACCCATTTCCGTTCATTAATATTCTCTGATACAAAGGAACCTCCTTGCGTTTAGGCTCATTTGAAGGCTGTCCTTGCCAGGTTCCATGAGAAACCTGATCAACCCCCTGGAATATAGGATGACTGCCAACTGATTGTTCATAATTGTCAAATGAATTCTGTGTAAGAGAACAACTGGGGTTGTGAACAAAAGGTTGGGAACCTGAAAATGAAATTGATGCAGTGAACCCATCAGAGGCCGTACGAAAGGTGGTAGTGGTACGCAAAGACTGAACACTTCTTACATGACTAGGGGAGCTAGGGGCTGGCATTGGATCTTGAGATGCATGTGGTAATGAAACATTTGGCAAGCCAAGAGATAGTTCAAGTGGTTCCATTTTCAGTTTTTCATTTTTATGCTTATCAACACCAGAGTTACTCACCTTCTCTGATTTTGTAGCAGAGGGGCCAAAAAATAACTCAAATCCCCTACAGCTAGGTCCTTCCATAGCATCTTCTCTTCTGGTTAGCAAATCCTTTTCCATCCAGCTACCATCTTCCACAGGATTAGCATGATTTGAGAGAGAAAGAGCAATAGCTAGATTTTTGCCTTTATCTTTGTCATTTTGGGTTTGCTTTTCTGTTATAAAGGCCAGGGTTACCTTAGGGGTTTCATTCTTTTCAAGAACTTCCTTATCTGAATCGGGTAGATTGAGGTCCTCAGCCTCAGGTTCTAGATCTATGCCCTTGTTTTCTTTCTGTTCTTCCCTCAAATGCAATGGCTTCTCAGCATTTGCATCAACAGTTTCTTCCCCTTTACCTTCTTCTTCTGGTTTATGGTCAGAGGAGGGTGAATGTTCTTGGTCCTCCCTGCAACTTTCTTCCTTCTCTTGACCCCTGTCCTGTACTTCTTCATCCACTGCTGCTGCTTCTTTCTTACTTCCAACCAATCTATCAACCAGACCATCCCGTAAATCTGGCAGCTCTTCATTTTCCTTTATTGAAGAAGTCAATGTCTCTGATACTTCATTTTCCTGTTTTTCATCACATGTATGTTCCTTCCCGAGCTCTATCTTCCCCTCTGGCACTGGTTTTGCTTCTTTCTCCAAGTTCATCTCTTGTTCGGTCTGCTGCTCAGTCTCTAGTTCCATATGATTCTCAGTAGTCACCTCAGTTGGAGGTTCAGGTTGAGGAGGTTGAGGAGGTTCAGGTTCATGCGTGGGTTCAGGTTCACGAACTGCTTCAGGTTCAGCTTCGGGTTCGAGCTCCCCTTCCTCCATCTCACTGCTATTACCATTCTCTACCTGCACTTCTTCATTCTTCTTAATCTCAACGCTCTTCGATTGCTCTCCACTAGAGTCCTTTGACCAAGGAGGGGACTTGATAGCATCTTTGGAGCCCCCCTGCGGAGATCTCACATTTCCTCTGTCCTCGGAAGCAACTCGACTCCCTCGGCCTGAATCGGAAGTAAACCTAGTATCTTCATCGACATCTTTGCTTCCACCAAATCTCCGCCACGACGATACACTACCCTCTCGCCGCGACCGATCCCTCTCTGATCTAAACCCTTTCGGAAATTCCCGCCTAGAGCCAGAGAAGCTCTCGGATCGATGCATCCGCTCTCCCCCATACGAGTTCCGAGGCGAAGAAATTGAAATACCCCTGTCGCTGCAATCACGGTACCGATCAAAGCTTTTCCTACGATCAAAACCATCAGAATCATGGTCCAGTCGTTTACGCAAGGATCTGGAACTCTCCCGATCATCATCTATCGATCGATCATACCCAGACGAAGACGATAACCCCTTTAGCCCGCCATTCTCAGCTTTTGAATAAAACCTCCGATGCGACGACGAGCGGTCTGGATCCTGATCCCTTCTTCCCCAATCTTTACAAACCCCCTTTTCCCCAACCGAATCAAGACTATCACCATAAGATCTCAACCTCTTCATACTTAATATACAGAACAAAAAACAAAATTAACAAAACGGGAAACTAGATCTCAAATTCGAAATCCTAGTTTCCCGAAACCCTAATTTCCAAAAACCCTAGCTTTCCATTGATATAAAATTCGAAACACCAATAAACGACGTGGCAGTAGAAACTAAAACCGAACAAGAGTTACCAGTCACGCATATACAGTCTCCTTCTGGAAATTTCCGCGAATTTGACGCAGGACGCAGCCGGAGAATGCTTAACCGTGGAAACCTTCCAACGAACGAAGGATAAGTAGAAGGAATTAACCATGCAAGAAGAAGGAGGAGGAGAAGATGAAGCATAACCTAGAAGAGGAAAAAACAAAAAAAGAAGAGAAAAGAAAAAAATGTTCAAAATAAGGGAAGATTTTATTTGTAGGTGAAAAAAGGACTATTTCGGTCAACGTAGATTAATAGAGGGTGACGTAAGAAAGACAATGAGACAAAAGAGTGAGGAATTGACAGATGGATCTACGATACACAGCATGCGCGATACGCATAATACATTAATACCCATAGTCAAGCCAACTTCGGGCGTGCGTACTGCGCTCGGAGGTATTCTGGCCGTTGACATGGTATAGTCGTATAGAAATCGGTGGAGCATCTGGAGGAGAGGGGGGAAGGGCGGTTTGACTAAGCTGACAGACTTTTGACACCTAGATATTATCGGAGACGCCTTTACTTTTCTGACTAGACGAGACGACGACTCGGACGCATTTACCACTTTGCGTCCTGGGCTATCTTTCTTTTATTTGTCCTGGAAATCAAGGCCTCTGTTTTAATGGGCCCACCACGTGCATGACCTGTTTTGTGGGCCCAGGCTTTTGAAGCTACAATGTATGTGTAGAATGTATATAAAGACGCGAGAACACGATACATATGCGTAGTTGTCTAGCTCTGGGCACGCCAGAAGTGGATGTGGTCCACGTTTAGTACGACAAGTATAACACCAGTGACCAGTCCATGGTATATACCTACATCCTATATGTCTTATTATACGTGTATTTAGTTTTAAAACATTATTAAAAATATTTAATTAATTTATGGCAATATTTATATTGTTTATATTTATGACAATTTTTATATAATACCTGAAAAATCTTAGTCAATTGAAAAAGTCAGAAACCCACATTAATTTCGCATAAATAATACAATTTGATTTTTTATGGATACAACTTACTTTAATTGCTCATGAATACAAGTTGGTTGGTTAGCAACTGTAGGGATGTCAGTGGATTAGGTTAGGTATTTTTTATTTGTTTTTTTTTTTTTTTTTGATAAATTGATGAAACCTCCCTGAGGTTTTTTATGGTAACTCAAACTTCCCTGAAGTTTGATAATTGTTAATTTATTATCACCTTCTCTAATTGAATGGGTATTTTAGACATTTGCGTCTCTTTTTAGAAGATTCTAACGAAGGCCATCTACTCACAACCATGTCAAAAAGTTTGACTCTTTTAGGATGATGATTGCAATTATCAAAACTTTAGGATAGGTTTCAGCAATTTACCTTTTCTATGAAAATACATTGACCTTAAGGGTGGGGTCAGCTGGATCTTGTGTTGGACTCTAGATGAATCCAAATTTCTCTTCACAAAATTGGTCCTCACAACTACCTACAAACATTTTTCAACCATGCATTGAAAACATATTTCCATTAATGAAAACATACACTAGAGAAATTTTATTAATGCACACATTCAAGTATTTTGAGGTTGTTGGGATGACCAATTTTCTGACGAGGGCATTTGAACTAGTCGGAGTTTCTTAAAGGACAAGTTAAATCAAACCCCTTCTAGTTCGATAGTTGACATCCCAACCAGTAAATTGGTTATCCCTTTTTTCAAGTACCATCAAATATTATCTCCTACTAAGCTAGAGGATAGTGTTTGACCAAATGCATTCTACATTTAAATTTTAGGGCTTAAGGGTTTAGAGTTTAGGTTTTAAGGTTTGGGGATTAAAATTTAGGGGTTTTTATTGTTCAGTCCACTCTAGAAATCCTAGTTCAATCGTACAATTCAGAGTAGGTGCCAGCTCGGAAATGATGCCAATTCATGGGCAGGTATGGGTGTAATAGGTGGAGCTGTTTATAAATTTGAATTGTTTTTGATTTACAATTCAAATCAGAGTTTTGAGGGGGAGTGCAGTCTAAAAATCCCTGAAATTTAATATTTAGATGTAAAAATCAATAGGTGTTTGGACACTTTCATCCAACCATGATAGGAGACTACAAACAAATTAAAAACTCCCTTTAAAGTATCACAATCCAACATTTTATATCTATACTATTATTAAAAGAGTGAATGAGGTATAGATTTTAGAATTATTTGACTAAAACACCCTTACTCATTGAGCTTGGTCTGATGGCAAAAAACATAATTTTAACTATTACTATTATTAAACATTTAAACTAGTCAGAACCCATGCGAAGCACAAGATTTTTTAACCAAATCGCAAATTAGAGAGTTAATGGCTTTTAAAGAGCCCTAGATACTTATAAACACCTTACCACAAAATTCCATCATAGATGATGAAGAAAGATTTGGCCCGACCTCGTAATCACTCAACACGTGGCAAAGGCAAACAGCTCGGCACAACAGCGCACCCAGGGCGCAAGCACCAAAGGGAGGAAACCAGCAGTCCGAACTCCCCACAAGAAGCCCGAACTCCCTACGAGGAGACCGAACTCCCTACTAGGAGCCTGAACTCCCTACGAGGAGCCCGATCTCCCTACTAAGAGCCTGATCTCCCTACTAAGAGCCCAAACTCCCTACGAGGAGCCCGAGGGGATGACACTCGAACTGGAAGGAGCCCAGAGGTAATCATACAAGACCTGACAGAAGCTTAGGAGTGAGTGCACGAGGTGGCTATAAAAGGCTCCYTACCCCCCAAGAACAAGGTACGTGAACTTTGCGCCATCTGGTTTTATCTTGCCTAAGAATTCTAACTTGAGCTTCGGAGCATTCGTATCGGGTTCCCCCCGGAGCTTCCTCATCTTCTCTATTTCAGGCTCCCTGTAGCTCCGTTTAGAGGCAAGGTCGTTGACAGCTAGGACCAGCTGGATTACGCACCATCAATTGGCGCCGTCTGTGGGAATACGCTTCTAAAAGCCTCCCTCTAAACTCTCATAACCTCTTTTCTCCAAAAACCCCAACACTCATGGCTTCTTCCAGCAATGCCGGACGTGGCACGGAGACAAACACCACCGGGGAACAACTTCAAGTCCCCGTGGTGTGCGTCAGACAGTTCACCATCCCCCTTTCGGTGGATGGGATCCCCAGCTTGAAT